GCATTTGCCATGGCGGTGAGTCTGATGTTAAGCATCATGCTAATTCAAAAAATCATGAACAAAACACCAAGATTCACAAGAGCAATACCCTGGTCTCACATTTTTTCAGCAGGCCAAATGAATCCTTCAGTAACAAGGTTATCACTGCTGAGCTAATTTCAAGTTTACCACACAGTAGTTCATCAACTCTTGCTCATGTGACTGTGAACTTAAACTTGCGCCTACCTGTATCCAGATTCAACGATTGTGAAGCATTTCAGCTGTGGCCGGACTAAAGCGGAGGCATTGATTAAAAATGTGCTGTCACTGCTCTCAACAGAATTTTTAAAAGACCTTAGCAAGCCAGACGGTCCCTATTTCTCAGTTGCCACAGATGCATCTAACAAGGGCAATGTGAAAACTTTCCCCTTATCGCTGAGATAATGGACACCTGAACATGGGGTCCATGATAAACTGTTAGACTTCTATGAGCAAAGGGAAGAGATTGCAGAGGCAAAAAGGAATACATTACTTGAAAAACTTGTGACACACAAACTAGACCTAAACAAAGTGTCTTCCTACTATTCTGATAATGCAAATGTGAATTATGGAAAGTGACAATCAGTGTACCAGAATTTAAAAAGACAAAACAAAAATAGCTTGCCTGCAAACTGCCCTGCCCATGTTGTGCACAACGTAGTGAAACATGCTAGCAATTCCCTACAAGTTGACATTGAGACTCCGGTGATTAAGACGTTCAATCATTTCAGCAGTTCTGCTAAGAGAGTAGCAGCACTGAAGGATATGTTTGACTTTGTGGATATGGAGTATGCCACTTACTGCGCCACATTCCGACACACTGGTTGAGTCTTTTCCCAGCTGTAAACAGGCTTGTAAATATGTGGCAGGCTGTTAAGTGCTACTTTGTTTCCCTGGGCAGTGACAAGTGCCCAAAATCTCTATGGATGCTGTTCTTGATCATGGAAAACAGTGAACAAGGTGAGGGGCCTAGCAAAGTTGATGTGCATCTGTTTTTCCTCCAGAATGTCCTGAAAATCTTCAATGATACTGTGCTCTGTTTGGAAAATGAGAGTATGACAGCATGTTAAGCGTATGCCATAATGAATACTCTGAGAATTAAACTTCAGCAACGGAAGAATGACAAATTCTTTGGCTCCAAAGTTGAAAATGCATTAACTGAGATGCTGCCTGTCACTGCTGCATGTCTCCAGAAAGACTTCATGAAATTTTATGATGTGTTGATCCTATATTTGGAGAAATGGTTTGATTTTTCAACAACTGGCTACTTGTTCAATACCCAGTGCTCGAACATCAAAGTTAATAGGGCATTCGAATACAAGGATCTGTCTGCGGCCGTGACAGCTGTAAACTTCCAGAAAACAGTGGATCTTGATCATCATCAAAGACATCAACTCCAAGTTGGAGCCTGGAAAATACTCAGTTGGGGAATTCTGGTCTCAAGTGCTGAGAAACAAGGACGGTAGCACTGAATTCCTGAACATGACAAAGCTGGTGTGATACGTGCTCAGTATACCAATAAGCAATGCATACACAGAGTGTGTATTTTCAATCATGAAAGATTCATGGACTGATGTCCGGAATCGAAGCAGCATAGACTTGGTGCTGAGTGAAACCCTTGTCAAAATGAATTTCTGGATGAGTTGCAAGGACTTCTACAGCTTTGTGATTGTCCAGAAGCAAATCATGACTATGGCAAAGTCATCCAAGAAGTACTAGACTTCTGGCACGTCTGAGAGGTATGCAAATTGTGAAGTTGATTTACCGACTGTATAAAAAACTTTGCCCTTTACCCCTGTTGTTTGTTTAGTGTACAAATAAATCTGTATGTTTAAATATGGATTACAACTAAGTCTATAATTTAGTCAGTGGGACCATGACACTCACTGATTCCAGACCTCTGTGACTTAGTTTGCTTCAGCTGTCAGTGGCTGAAGTTGGGGCTGAAGGTAGGACTGTGGGCCTCCCCTCTGTGACTGTGGCTGGAGCTGGAGCCAGGGCTAGAACTGGGACCCTTCATTCTCCCGCCCTGCAACTGGGTCTGACTTTGCAACCAGGATCCTGTGCCCCTGTCCCCATGGCTTCTGTTGAGGCCTGGAGCTGGGGCCATGAGACCTTGCCCCCATGGCTTATGGCATGGGCTGCAGCAGGGGCCATACACCCCTCTTGCATCTTCCTACGGCTGTGCGCCCCCTCTCATGTCTCCAGTCGGGGCTGTGCACCTGTGGCTGTCTTGCTCCCCACCCCCGCCTAATGTGTCCTGATATTTCACTCTTGCGATCTGGTCACCCTAGGCAGAACCCCCAGTGTCTTAGCCAGGGTGGGCATGGGGGATCTGTTCTCTCTCATCACCACAATTGCCTGCAGTGAAGGAAGAAGTGTCTTGTGAATGGAGAGTCAATTATGGTCCCCATGAAACATACGTTGGGGCAACATGTTGGCTTTTTCTCCTCCCTTGGATACCAATTTTTTTTTCTTTTCAAAGACCTGTCCCAGAACACAATAATAGAAATCAAGGTGTGGAAAGGACCTTGAGAGGTCATCAAGTCCAGCACTCTGAGCTGAGGCAGGACCAAGTAAACCAAGACAATCCCTGGCAATTGTTTGTCCAATGTGTGCTTAAAAATCTCCGATGATGGGGATTCCGCAGCCTCCGTTGCAAGCCTATTCCAGTGCTTAAATACCCTTAAAGTGTTTTCTAATATCTCACCTAAATCTACCTTGCTGCAGATTAAACCCATTAGTTCCTGTTCTACTGTCAGTGGACATGGAGAACAATTTATCACAGTCTTCAACATATTTGAATGCTTATCATGTCCCCCATCAAGCTCCTTTTCACAAGACTAAACATGCTCAGGTTTTTTACTCTTTCCTCATAGGTCAGGTTTTCTAAACCTTTTTATCATTTCCGGTGTTTGCCTCTGGACTCTGCAATCTATCCATACCTTTCCAAAAGTGTGGCACCCAGAACTGGACACACTACTCTAGCTGAGGCCTCACTCGTGCCAGCAGAGCAGGACAATTATCTCCCATGTCTTATATACATCGCTGCTGTTAATACACCCCAGAACGATGATAGCCTTTTTTTGCGACTGCATCACATTGTTGACTCATTCAATTGTTATCCACTATAACCCACAGAAGTATCCTCCAGAAGTACTACCTCCTAAGCAATTATTCCCCATTTTTGTAGTTGTATATTTCATTTTTCCTTCCTAGATGAAGTACTTTGCACTTCTCTTTATTGAGTTTCATCTTGTTGAATTCAGACCAATTCTCCAATGAGTCAAGGTCATTTTAAACTCTAATCCTGTCCTCCAATGGATGTGCATACCCTCCAAGCTTGGCGTTATCTGCAAATTTTATAAGCATACTCTCCACTCCACTATCCAAGACACAATTAAAATATTGAGTACTGTAGTACCAAACCCAGGACTGACCCCTGTGCAATCCCATTAGATACACCCTCCAAGTTTGACAATGAACAGTGATAATTACGCTGAGTAAAGTTTTTCAACCAGTTGTGCATCCACCTTACAGTAATTTCATCTAGACCACATTTCCCTAGTTTGCTTATGAGACTGTTATGTGGGACTGTTTTCAAAGGTCTTATTAAATCAGGGTATAACACGTCTACAGCTTCCCCACTAGCCAGTAGGCCAATTACCCTGTCAAAGAAGGAAATTAGGTTGGTTTGACATGATTTGTTCTTGACAAATTTATGTTGGCTATTCCTTATATTCCTAGTATCCTTTAGGTGCTTACAAACTTATTGTTTAATAATATGGTCTAGTATCTTTCCAGGAATCAAAGTATCATAACCGAGCCAGTATCATAACTGAGCTCAGCATGGATGCAATGAGGAATTGGGCCTATGAAATTCATTGTTTTGTAGGCCAACTGTTTTTGTCCAATTTCCAAATTTCATAACTGAAAAATTGGAAATGTGCATGTTATTCACTTGCAAATAGTACTATTTTTGACTAAAAATGCAAAATGTCATGCCTTTGAATTTCTGCAAAAATGTTTAAAAATGTTGAAATAAAATGGTTTTGTAGTGGTTGATCGAACATACGGTGAGCAAAATGATGTTTAAGCATTGACTATTCAAGTGTGGGCCATGGTTAGTGTATTTGTCTCTTTTGATTTATAATAATTCTAGAGAACATTAGTTTATAATTATACCCCAAGATGAAGCACCCTACATTCAAGCTTGGGTACGGGCCTGTCGCATTCATAATATTTTCAAAATCTTTTGTTCAGGCATCACTTCCCATTTGTCATGAAAGAAATTATGGATCCAACTGGACCCCCCCACAGGAAAAGTGATGGGAGGGGACTAGAGAAAAGAAATTCTTCATAAATTTCTCCTTTTAGAGTTTCTCCCCAAATGTTCCATTGAAAGGCTCCCTCCCTATTAGAATAAAGGCCAGTCCACAGATACATCTGCTTGTAGGCCCTGTGCTTTTACAGTGGTTCTGTCTCCCGTGTGCCCCATCCACCGATTTCCAACAGTACAGCGAGGGTTTCTGCAGTCAGTGGCTGCACCACAGGATGTCTGTCTTTAAGGAAAGGAGTTTCCCAACCACACAGTGGGGTCTGTGAAATGGCAATACAGCATAGGCTGTATTATCTTCCCAGAGAATCTCTCAGAGAAAGGGAAGGAACAATGAACATCTCCTTGGTCTCACCATTCTCCTACCTCTTCCTCCCATGGAGAGCATACTGCCTAATTCCTCCCTTGCATGGATCTTTGAACCCAGTGAGACCCCACTCTGAATCCAAGGCAAGGAGAAAGTGATTTGCAGAGGTAGCTGAGCCCCTCTCTTCCATACAAGACACTAGAAAAGTTCAATGAAGGTTTTAATATTAATGGTATTGATAACATAAAAGTAGCAATTTATACCCACTCTGACTGTCTGTGGTTATTTTCATAATGGAGTGGTATGCATACTGAAGTTTTTTCATATCACTGACCATACCTCCCAAGGTAGCTGACAGTAGGAAATGTGTCCCATATTTCTTGATAAGGTTCTCTGTGATTTGCTGAAGGGTTGGGCGACGTCCTAGTAGTCTTATGTTGCGAAAGAATTCAGGTGCGAGAGGCAGTGGGGAGCCAAGGAAATTTCTTCTTTCGACAGCTAGATTGTTTACTTTCCAGCGGCCAAACTCTCTGTAAAACAAAACAATTCTCATTCAGAAATGCATCATTCAGACAAATGTTTTCATTTGCAAAGTACATCGCTCTGTTGCCTAGCTGGGGGCAATGTATTACAACAAGCTTTGCTTGGGATACTCTGTCATGGATTATATACATAGAACAAGCAACGAGTATTATTTATTAGAAACGGAGGGAATACTCCATAACAAAATTGTCATCTGGAGAAGAAATAAATAAGCCACTTAGGATGCACCAGTTTCTATTGCTTTTGTTCAGCCTGTGATGTGACCATAATTCCAGAACAACTTGATTTTGTTAGGCACTGAATATAAATTCAGAATTATACAAAGTTCAATATAAACTCAGGTTTTTTGTTAGCACTTTGTAAAGGAAATTAAAATATCATTTTTAAAAGCACAATTGCTTTTGCACAATAATCCGCCTGTCTACTTTAGCTCACTACTTTAAAGGCATTAGAAAGACACTGTCAGACTCCATTTGGCCAAGCAGAGATCTTGCTGAAGTTTCCGGCACTTTTGACCCTGATTTTGAAACATATTCTTCAAGCAGATCAGATTCTTGGCAACATAATGCACTTTCTTATATAAAGATGAAGCTAAACAAATTCAAAGACCATATGCAACAGGCACCCATTCCCATTCCAAAATAAATCAGTGATAGAAATGAAAGCAAACAAGTCAATTAAGCAGTAATAAACACATCTTTTATTCATTTACTTACCAATTAAGATGCAGCAGAGAGATATTAGCAAAAGGACATGTTGTCCTCAAAATCTAATCAAGGGACTATTTTTATTTCTCAATGTCTGCTGTAGCTTTGCCTTTATGAAGAGCTTTTGTTTTGGTTTTGTCTTGCTTTGTTTTTTGCTTCAGAGTAAAGTCAGGGTCTGGTTTGTGGCTACTACAGTGATATAACATATGGGCTGCTTTTTAGGGTAAAAGGATTGTCACTTGGATGGATATGTCAATTATGGGTTCCCCCTCCACTTTTGAAATGATATCATGTAAAAGCAAAAATTCATTTCAGAGTGTTCGAAAAACCCTACAGAAGGTCCCAGCTAAATAAAGAGATGACTTATATTTTCATAATACAAAAAATCCAAAATGCAATAAAGATTGTGGGCTGTAATACAAAATGCAATACAAATGGCTAACTAATTAGAATGGCTGGGATAAGTCATGTGATAAATAGCACTTTATTTTCTATTTGCCAAATTATTTGGAGTCACAAACTTCTGCATCAGCAAAGAGTGCACAGCACCAGTGGTCCATGGACCATAGTTTAGAAATCACTTTAACCCTTTTTTCAAAGATTGTCTCCCACAAATGTACTCTCTTCTGAAGCAGACATAAGGCTGTGACAACAGGTACCATCACAAATCTCGACTGCTCCTGCACTATTGAAATGGATTTTGTTCCCTTTAAGTTAATACCAAAATAAATTAACAAAACATTTTTTGTCTTACAGAAGTAAGCCCTACCTATTGAATAACTGAATACCCAAATCCTACATACCATCTTGTTGTGCTTGGACAGAGATGATTATATATTAACCTGATTTAATCAATAACTTAATGAAGAAGAATGCGGAAGAAAACGTATTACATATTCTTTGATGTATCGGTATATTGGGTGCTTTCATTTCAACACATCAAAAAAAGCTACCTCAGTTATAGCACTTGGACGTATCATCAAGATAAAGCTGCTTTGACAGCAAGATTACAATGCAAGCTTGTAATTAAATATTCAGATAAAATACATTTTATATCTTTCTGGAATCTTTTCTTACAAACTTACTGTCTGGTTAATGGTCTGTATCAAAACTGAGTTTCAAACACATGGAGAATAATGAAAAAGGGGAAAACATTATAAGAGATAGTTGGCAACTTCGCCTTGAATTTTCAGTGTCATCGATATTTTGGCTGGAAGAGATCTTTATGATAATCTAGTATGATTATCATGACTTCCCTGATAACACAGACCATAGAATGTCATCCAATGATTCCTACATCTATAACAACAACTTGTGGTTGAGCAAGAGCATGTTGGTTAGAAAGACAGACAAGCCTGATTTAAAGACACCAACTGATAAAGAATTTACAAAATCTCTTAATAATCTGTTACAATGATTAATGACTTTTAGTGTTAACTTATATTTTATTTACAGTTTGAACTTTGCTGATTTCAACTTCAAGCCCTTGGATTTCGTAATGCCCTTGTCAGCTAGATTAAAGAGACCTCTAGTGTCCGATGTCTTTTCTCCATTTAAATAATTAAAGACCATGATTGAGTTGCCTCTTAATCTTCTCCCATATAAATGATATTAAGGTCCTTTAGAGTCTCATTGTGAGGCATGTTTTCCAGACTACAAATCATTCTTGTAGCTCTTTTCCGAATCATGTCCAATCATTTTTTTTTAAATATCAACACCAGAATATGTATTCCAGTTGGGCTCACCAATGCCAGATTCAGAGACAATATCATCTCCTTTCTCTTTCTTAAAAGTCCTCTCTTTATACATCCAGGTATTGTGTTAGTCTTCTAATATAATATAAAATTTCTTTGGTTTTATTATCCAAACTTGAGTTAGTAGGGTATCTCTACTAGCAGTTCCACCACTAATGGGGTCTTGTACTTATTTTTTTATATATAATACATGAACAAGGGGATTGTTCCATAAATTTAAGGACCGGTAGATTTAAAACAACTAAATTGACTAATTTTTTCACACAGCAGGTATTCAGCCTTTGGGACAGTCTTTGCTATAGAAAGTCAGGGAGCTAAAGTTGAAAGCTGGGTTTTAAAAATGACTGGACAGTTTTGTGTCCCTGTCACAGTTTGAGCTTGGGCTATTAAGGGGTTCAGCACCCAACTCTGACCTCTGCCTGGTTCCCCTCCTAAACTGTAGTATTTGGAGAACTGAGAGCACAGACCTGGTTGACTCAGAGCCAGCCCTTCTGGAAGATATCAGTGGCAACTTATTCTCAATAGGCAGGAGTGTCCTGTCCTGGACTTGTGGCCTGAGGAAAGACCAGCAATGATTCCTAGTTGATGAGTACAGGAGCGGCTTAGGAACCTCTCAATGGGGAAGCCTGCGGTAAGACTTAAGAATTTGGAATCCTGAGAGATCCCAAACATCCTGTTTGAGGTATTTTGTATTGATATGAAACCAGACCCCAGAAGTCGCTGTTTGAGACTTTATCAAATCAGACCCAGCAGGGGCAAGATTGGTTTGGAGTGGGCTGAGGAAGTACCCACTCTCTATAAAGAAGGAGAAACCCATAATATTTGTAGATATAAATGCTAAGATAGCTACAATCAAATATGATGTTTAAAGTGAAAAAAAGTTCAGGAAGAATCCCCTACCCTTTCTCCACAAAAAACACACATGGCTACTGTTGAATCATAAAAGATAATGGATTAGTTCATTCTGTCCATCTTACTACTAAGGGTTGTTCCTATTTTTCATCTACTAAGGGCTATACTTAACTCATTTCTAGTGTGTCAAGAGATGGCACTTCCACAAACCTCAGAGCTTATAGAATTATAGAAATGTAGGGCTGGGAGGAACCTCAAGAGGTCATCTAGTCCAGTCCCCTTCACTCAAGGCAGGACTAAGTATTATCCAGACCATCCCACAGATGCTTATCTAACCTACTCTTATAAACCTCCAATGATGGAGATTCCACAACCTCCTTAACAATTTATTTCAGTGCTTAACTACCCTGACAGTTTTTCCTAATGTCCAACCTAAACTGCCCGTGCTGCACTTTAATCTCATTGCTTCTTGTCCTATCCCCAGAGGTTAACAAGAACAATTTTTCTACATCCTCCTTGTAAAAACCATTTATGTACATGAAAACTGTTAGCATGTCCCCTGTGAGTCTTCTCTTCTCCAGACTAAACAAACACATTTTTTTCAATCTTCCCTCATAGGTTATGTTTTGTAGACCTTTGAACATTTTCATTACTCTCCTCTGGACTTTCTCCAATTTGTCCACGTCTTTCCTGAAATGTGACACCCAGAACTGGACAAAATGCTCCAGCTGAGGAGGGATGAAAGTAATTTAAAGGTCTTACCGGTACGCCGGAGTCCTGAGCAGGGGCGTGGCCTCAACCAGAAGAGTCGTGGCCTCAGCCGGAAGAGGCGGAGCCTTTCAAGATTTAAAGGCCCTGGGGCTGTGGCTGGGAGCCCCAGGGCCTTTAAATCACTCCAGAGCTACCAGCTGCAGAGGCAGCTGGGAGCCCCGAGGCTGAGGGGCAAATTAAAGGGCCCGGGGCTCCGGCCGCCATGGAGACCCGGACCCTTTAAATCGCTGCAGGAGCCCTGCTGCCGCTGCCCCGAGGTAATGGCGGCAGGGCTCTGGGGGCAATTTAAAGGGCCGAGGTCTCCCTGCAGGAGCCCCCGGCCCTTTAAATCCCCGCCCGAGCCTGGCTGCCAGAGCCCCAGGGCTCCATCAGTGATTTAAAGTGCCAGAGGCTCCGGACGCTGAGGGGAGCCCCGGGCCCTTTAAAGCGCCGCTGGAGCTGGCAGCAGGGTTCAGGTGGTGCTTTAAAGAGTCCGGGGCTCCCTGCAGCGGCTGGAGCCATGGGTCCTTTAAATAACCACCAGAGAAGCCGGTCCAGTCCGGCAGGGCACACGGCTTACTTACTTTCACCTCTGCACTGAGGCCTTATCAGCGTGGAGCAGAGTGGAAGAATTACTTCTTATGCCTTGCTTACAACACTCCTGCTAATACATCCCAGGATGATGTTCACTTTTTTTGCAACTTTTTGTTACATTGTTGAATCATATCATGTAATCCACTAAAACCCCCAGATCCCTTTCCACAGTACTCCATTCTAGGCCGTCATTTCATATGTGTACAATTGATTCTTCCTTCCTAAGTGGAGTACTTTGCATTTCTCCTCATTGAATTTCATCCTATTTACTTCAGACCATTTCTACAGTTTGTCCAGATCATTTTGCATTTTAATCCTATCCTCCAAAGT